GAAAAAATAACTGCATTAAAAAATAATGATAGATATTTCTCAATGTCTCTTTTATTATATTTTTTTAATTAATGGATAATATTTTTACAAATTTATATTTTTTAAAAAATAAAATTTCAAATTATATTTAATTGATTTTATTGATATTTGAAGTTTAAAAAACTGTTATCAAATGGGGGCGGGAAGAGTATATATCTTTGTAGTATTTAACACTATTCTTGGAAATATAATCATTATAAAGAAATTGTTTTCTTTGTTTATCTTTTTGAATTGAAACAAGAAAGTTCTTCTTATTTGAATCACTTATTTTTCTGTTGCCAAAAAAAATTTCTTTTTCTTACAGTCGTCTTCTTCATGAGAACACAGGGTCGTGTCAAACGCGCGTAGACGACCCCAACTGTTCCAATTTCAAGCCATGATAATTGCATGCTTGGAAGAGACGACACAAGAAGGATCTTGAATAAATAGTACTCTTTTGGTTCAATTTTGAAGATAACGAAAATATTAATTTTAATCTTATTTATGAAGAACACATTTTACTATTTTTTATGTTTATTTTTACTTTTATTAAATACTTGAAAAAATTATTTAAAATAATTATTTTGTCTTTATTATGGGACATCGGTGAAAACTTATTAAATTTTAAGATAAAATTAATGAGATTTAATTTTTTTTATTTTGATAAAACATCTTAAAAGTTACTTATTTTTCACTCAAACAATCAAAAGTTTTTCACTCAAACAATCATCCATTTAAAAAATGGACACCTGAATTTAAAATGATTTGTTTCCACTTCAAAACACACACAAAAGTGTCCAACTTAAAATATCAAATGCCATTAGCCCTAAAAATATTTTGACCACCTCAAATGGACCACATACAATATAACAATTCATTCATATTATATAAATAAGCAGTCACACTCAAAATGATCACCCAAATCCCGTTTGATAATAACACAAAGAGGTGGATTATATTTAGCACACACACATATTGGTCATTTTAGGCACATGATTCACTTCAAATTCATCACTTATAAATGTAACTTGGCCCAACACACACATAATCCACACGTTATCCTTGGACCAAGATACGCGTATTTATAACAAAAAAACCCCACACAAGTGATATTTAAAATAATGTTATGTATCTAAGTTGGCATTATATATTAACAATATTCATTACATTATTTATTTTTCTATTATTTAAAAAAATCAAGATTAAAAATATGAGAAAGGGTTTTTGGCCCTTAAAATTGTAGTAATTTTAGTAGGGTCATTCTAATTTTTTTTATTAATAAATCAACCCTTGGAATTATGGTTAACTTTAATCAAAGTTATTAGAGACGGTGTGCAAGAAATTCAGTGATAACATACAGTTGGTATGACAATAAGTTCCGTCCTCATGTGCCCTTTGAGATCTTAATTATCAATCAGCATCACTTCATTCTAGAATGTGTTCCAATTTTTATATTTAATTTATTTTTATTATTTTTATAAAATCAAGATTAAAATATGACAAAAGGTTTTTGGCCCCTAAAATTGCAGTCAATTTTACTAAGGTCATTTTAATTTTTTTTTTATCAATGAATCAATCCTTAGAATTATGGTCCACTTTAGTCAAAGCCACTAGAGATGACATGTTGATTTAATGATAACATGTAGTTGATATAACAATAATATTCGGCAATTGTAAGAATTTTGATTAAAGTTGACTATAATTTTAGGAACTGATTCCTTTATGATAAAACTATTGGGACCTGGACCCAAGTTGATCAAAATTTTTGGGACTAAAAACTGTTTTCCCTCAAAAATGTTTAATTTTATAATTTGAAAACAAGTTTGAATATCACCAAAGAATGAAAAAAATGAAAATATGCATGTCTGAATACTTTAAAAAAAAATATAATATAATATAATATAATATTTTTAGATATTTAGCATAATATATTACTTTTATTAATAACTAGTTTTTGAGTATCAAGAGGCTTCAACACGAAAGTATCCCTGTACAGGTTAGATTTTCTTTAACCCCCCCTTCTCATAAGCTATCGATACATACATACATATCTACATATACATACATATATACACATGTGTGTGTGTGTGATAATTACTACTTTATTTGATTCTCTTTAAAAAATAAAAATGATCTCTTTCTCATGATCTGGAAGGCATATTCTATTCTGTTATTAATTTGAACTCGTGGGTATATCAATGACTTTTCGTTCAACATTAACTGTTAAAACTTGTAAGAGATAACTAGAAGTTTGAACTTTAAGGTTAATAATTGAATTTTTAAATTTTCTATTTTACAATAAAGTTCTGTAATTCATATGTTGTAATGAATTGTTTTCTTTTGGCCAGAATTGTAGAATTAAACTCTTAAATGACGAAGTTTGAAGACCAAATTATTAATGATGATCAGAGGGAATAGCTGGAACCATTGTGGCTGCAATATTAATGAAAACTAGATTAAACAAACAGGTAATATTTTTGTTATCAATCTGAGAATAAAACTAATTAATGTAAAATATTATTTTTTTTTTTTATTTTGCATCAGACACATTTCATTTGACTTACGATTATGTCATATCTTTTGATTATCTTATAGCTGATGCAATGGTGTCGACGGGCCTTTTGTCTTTGGGATACCAATATATCAATATTGGTAAGATAATATTAGATTAACACAATTATTTATAGCAATAAATAGTTGATTCATTATATTCCTAAGAAAACTATTTTTTTTAATCTTGATTTTCTATGATCTCTAGATGATTGCTAGGGCGAACCTACTAGAGATTCTCAGGTAATTAACATGCAAAATTAGTTTCAATAATTATCTCATCATCAATGGGCTTACTGTTTCAATAAAATTTTACTATGACAGAAGACTAAGAGTGAACATATTTAAAAACTTTTTGAGTTATATTCATCCACTAGAAAAGAATAAGAAAACCTAGGAGAATTCTGACGTGAACTGTGGCAGGGAAATTTGGTAGCAAAAGCTTCAATCCTTCAGGAATCAAAACACTGGCTGATTATGTTCATGCAAAAGGTTTAATGCTAGGGATTTATTCTGATGCTGGGTATCACTTCCACCATTATACCACTCTTAAATCGTCACTGACCACTTATACATACATACATACATACATACATACATACATACATACATACATATATATATATATATAGTATATTATCCATGCCTATTCGAACATTTTTCATCTCTCTTAAACTTTCTCTGCAGAACTCAAACTTGCAGTAAAAGGCAGCCTGGGTCACTTGGACATGAAGACCATGATGCAAAAACATTTGCTTCCTGGGTAATCTAATCTTCATTCTCATTAAATTTTATCATATATATATAACATTTACAGAAGATTTTGATTCAAATGTTACTTTAGGTAGTTGACTACTCGAATTATGATAGTCGTGAGGATACACAGAGTCTTAGTCCAAAGGAAAGGTAGCATTTTGAAGCATTTAAGTGAACATAAGAAGCAGTTCATGAAAGAGGAAATTGATAATTACATTTTGTGAACACAGCTACCCCATAATGAGTGAAGCTTTATTAAAATCTGGAAGGCCCATCGTATTCTTTCTCTGTGAATGGTGAGTCTTCTACTTTCCTTTTCCCTTAAGGTTTCATACACTGCAAATTTCACAGTATGAATTTGTTTCTGAACTTAGGGAAGTACAAGACCCTGCAACTTGGGCCTCAACTATGGGAAATAGCTGGAATCAAGAACTTGAATATATATATATATATATATATATATAAAAGCCTCTGTGTTTGTGTATTTCAATCTGATGCTTAATCAAGAACTTGAATGGTGTGCTTTATGTCACCTGTATTTTGTTCTCATAACGTTCCTTTTTCCTCAGAATGACGTCTCGAGGAGATGAAAATGACAAATGGGCAACCTATGCTGGACCGAGTGGATGGAATGGTAATCAATTTTACTTGATTTGCATGCTATTAAACTTCACAAGACTAAAGACAACATTATTGTTAATGATCGTAATAACAACTCTCAAACTTATCCTATTCCGCTTCTTGTTGAACCTGAATTTGATTCTGTTTTGAAACAATGTGAGGGCAAAATCTTAGCAAGCAAACAAACACTTGTGACTCTGTCAGATTACTTTTGCTTCTATTTTATCATGCCATTGAGGAAAATAGACTTCACATTCTCAATACACATGTTTGGCATCAGATCCTGATATGCTTGAAGTGGGAAATGGAGGCATGACAACAGAAGAATACAAAGCTCATTTCAGCATATGGGCATTAGTCAAGGTAGAAGGAAACATGACACTAACATTGCCATTTATCAAATATGGCAAATATTTCTAGAAAGTGAATTTTGCAGTTCAAATAGTTTCCTTGTGTATATGTTCAAGGCTCCTTTGTTGATTGGGTGTGATGTCCGAGATATGGATGATGCAACTTATGGAATTGTAAGCAACAAGGAAGTGATTGCAGTGAACCAAGGCATGTACAGAACAAAAGCTCTGCTAGCCAGCCAGCCTTCTAGGAAGCCAGAAGCATTGCTTATCTCGTACATAGAAAAATTCTCTCATACTTATAATCTTCTGGTAACGCAGATAAACTTGGAGTTCAGGGAAAAAAGGTGAAAAGTAATAACATGCATATAAAAATCCAACTTCATCACTCTGCAGCAAAGTCCTAAAATCATTTAACTACAACTATGAACTCATACCTCGGATCTACCAGCAAAAAGCTCATATTACTGTTTCCTCTAATCCTTCATCCTACAGTTGAAGAAACTGACCAAATATGGGCATTTTTTCTAACAGGGGACAAAAGCGTCTTTTCCGCACTTTTGGCTTTTCCCTTCTCATCCAAATTCAATCATACCAAATGCCCACACTTTTCATTCCCTTTTCCTATCCCCTCCATACCAAACAAGACTTTGATTCAAAGTCTGTAAGAGCCTACAAGTTATTGAAAAATCAATGATGTTGAATGAAGCAGATAAGCATTTAGTTGTGGAGAAGAAAAAGCAAAGAGGATTGACATCATAATGGAGACAAAGAAAAGTACAAAGAGGTAGAATATTAAATCCAAAAACATCAACAACAATAATTTATTATATGGGGATAACCTAATCTGATAGTGTTTGAACTTTTGAAAACCAATCAACAACGGCTAAGTTCGTCAGGCTTGCAACTTCACCTTCTCCTATATAAACATAGATAGATATACATATAAGTAGGAGGATTCAAGATCAAGATTGAGAGTGTAGTTAGATAGAAAGAGAGAGAGATGGCTATGTGGGATTGGGAAAAGATGATTCAGGTAAAAGGGGAGGCTTGTTGTGGATCTTCCGCTGTTGGGTGCAATAACAAGCGCTTCATCTGATACTCCTTCCGTCAACAGCAGCACACCAAATCAGTTCAGAAGATTCTTGCTTGTCAATGGACTCGGTCGTACACATTCTACGTGTAACCTCCCTACTTCCTCCCCAGTCCCCGCCTTTCTCTTTTCTCCCCGCGCATGCAGACTTGGGTTCTCCCTCTCTCCCCTCTCCCCACTTCCTCTCAGTTCCTTTTCTTAACTCTTCGTTTCATTTTTAAATAATTAAGATATAATATTTTTATAAATTAATATTAAAATGTAAACTTTATAAAAAATGAATAAATTTAAAATATAACTAATTTCATCTAAACTATAATTCAAGGGTTAGGATTATAATTTAAAAATAAAAAACAAATTATTAAATTTCAATCATTCAAAGATGAATTTAAAGGTTGAGATGGCAAGTATAGAAAGAAAGTGAACAAAAGAGAATTGATAAAAACTTAATTGCAAATGAAAACAATGGTAAATAAGATATTTGAAATTTGCTATTAAATTTCAATTTTTATAGAGAAGTTGTGATTCTCTGTTTTTAAATACTCATCATCATTGTTATGTTATATTTTATTGATAAAAAATGATAACAAGATATTTATAATTTGCTCTTATATTTTAATTATTTGTCCAAGAAAAATTATCATTTTCTATTATTAAGTAACCTTTGTTTTCTATGCGTATGTTTTATTTTAAATTTTAAATTGAGAGAAAATTTGTTATTTTATCAAAAGTCAATATATTAGATTAAACTACACAATAATTATTACATTTTACAGTAATTTTTTGTTATTTACATGTAAATAAATAACACATCAAATATACATATATCTTGATTTAATTAAAAATATTTTCTTTGATTCTATTTATAAGTTATTTTTAGCATGTCTTAAAATTTAACAATTTATTAATTTTATCTCTATTAAATATATATATATATATATTTAAAAAATAAAATATGCAAGTATTTAATAACCTTTCTAACATTTAATAGAAGAAAAAGAGTAAAAATAAACATAATAACCATTGAAGTGACTTATAAATAAAATTAAATTAAATAGAAAGAACTACTGTAAAGTCCTAGCCAATTCATTTAACTACCCCCAAGTCCTATGAAATGCATAAACTGCCACCAAGTGCCAAATCATTGTGCAACTACGAAAATACCCTTAAAAAAATATATCCTTCATTCACCACAGTCATTGGAGCTTCGGCCAGCCTCGACTAAAGACCTCTTGCCACCACTGTCATTCACTTGCCGGCAACTCTTTGTTAATTTTGACTTTTTAAATCTTTTTTTTTTAATATTTCTATCTATACTTCATATTTCATACTTTCAAATATTTGTAAACTCTAATATTTTTTTTATTTTGAATTTGAAATGATTTTAGTCATACTTAAACTTGAGATCCCATTAATTAACATGGTTTTATATTATCAAATATAAGTTTCAAAACTTTTCTAATATACTAGAGTATTGTTTTTTGGTTTTAAACCATTCTAAATGGTAAGGACTTTTTTATTGACATGATATATGAACTAATTTAATAAATATAATTCCAACAACCACAATATACTTTTAAAATTGAGTCTTTTTCTTTTTATTATGGTTTGTCCTTTTTATAACTATAGTTAAAGAATCTTTCATGGTCGATTACCTGGGATGAGTTATTTCCTAATTATCATGGTAGATTGTGTTTAATATGGTTAAGTATGTAGAATAATTTGGTGATATTACACCTAGTTGTTATTTACTTAAACTTAAATTATTTTTTCGTGAGACCCAAATTGTTATTCTCCTTTGCCAAATTGTTATTTCATATACCCAAATTGTTATTTTCCTTTGTCAAATTGTAATTTTTATATACTCAAATTGTATTTTACTTAAATTGAGTTGTTTTTTTTCTTATATTTGAGTTATTATTTTTCTCTACTAAGTTATAATTTTCTTATGCTCAAATTGACACCAATTATGTATGCATGCATGGATGTACATGATATTTTACACTATTATATTAATAAGTATAAGTAGCCCAATGGTAGCCTAACATTTTAAGAATCTTTTGGTTTTAGTTCTAATCCTCCTAAAACCACTTTTCCCCCAAATAAAAAAAAAATCCCACCACCGATCATTGAAGCTCCGACAACCAGCAGTGGTGGTAAGAGGTCTTTGGGGAAGGTTGGCTAGAGCTCTGGCGACAGTGGTGGATGAAGGATATTTTTTAAAAAAATAATGTAAGAGATATTTTTTGTAATTGTGTAGAAATTTGAGATTTGGGGACAATTTATGCCTTTCATGAGACTCGTGAGTAATTGAATTAGTTGGTGGACATTTATAGTAATTCTTCCAAATAAATACTCTCCTTTAGGATTGTGTAAAAGTCCTCCGATCCTGTCTGACTCAGTCGAACCTGAAATATTTAGTCCCGTTTGGTCTATATAAACACTGATCCATTAGGATCAAAAAAACTGAAAAGACCAAACTATTTCTTTAGGTTAGACTGGACAGGAGATTGGGCATCTAGACCACTTAATCCAATCCGGTCCTACTAATTTATTTAATAGAAATATAATTAATTTATTTATGACAAAAAAGAGATGATTGTATGAAGATTTATTGATTTTATTTCTAAATTGTTGTTGTAATATAATGTTGTTGAAGTTTGTTAAGTGTTCTTTTTATTAAAGTTATAAATTTAAATCATTTGAACTATAACATAAATATTTTTTTTTGGTGTTGAAAATTATTATGAATTTATTATTATTATAAGTTTTTTTATTATTTTAATTGAGTTTATTAGGTTGAAATAAATTATCGCCTCTCATAGAAGAAAAAGGAAAAAAAAAGTTAAGTGAATATTTGATTAACATAACCAGTTTTCCAATCCTATAGATCAAGTCCTGTCCTGTTAATCTTTGAATTATTACTAAATAAGACCAGATTACGAGTTGTCTAATCCAGTCCTTTTCATAAAAGAGATAAAACTTCGGATTAGGCTAAAGTTTAGTACCGTCCAGTCATTTACACAGCCCTACTCTCCTTCTATCTTGTAAATAGAACAAAGGAGCATATAAGCATTGGCATTCAAAAATTATTTAGCATACTTTTGATCTAATAACTAGCTAGTACCGCAACGCCACCTTTACTCCTCTTGTAACAAGGACAATCCAGGTTCAAACTCGAATCTAGGGTGAGCATGGATGGTACGTGTTTTCCTTTCCACAGAAAAAAAAGGTGTACATGTAGGCTGATGGACGTGGCTGTAATTCACCAATGCCAGGAAAAATAGTACTTAGCTAGCTAGTGCGTAACCGTGCATAGTGGTTAACATTAAAAACTTAAAAATAACACACGTATTATATTCTCATAGAAAAATGTGCATCTAGTTGCCATATTCAAAACTTGAGCCTTGAATAAATTGTAGTCCGAGTTTGTACCACTCTTCCTCTATGTTAGTTTGGATTATTTTAGCTGATTGCTCTTCTGATATCAACCGGGGCAGTCTGACCCATAAGTCATCCCTCTTAGCTTTAAGCATTCTTCCATTCTCGTAGAGTTTTCTTTTTCTCTTAGCAACATTCTCTCTTTCTGAAGTAAAATCCGCAATCTTAGCTTTTACCCCATTGATTTCCGCTTCTAACTCTCTCTCCCTTCTTTTCAAGTATTCCAACTGCTTCCATATTTCATTCTCTGATTCCTCCACCTGCCTGAACTCTCTCACATTACCTTCAACCCCCTCTTTCAGTTCTCCAACTTTGGACATTTCTACAGCTGCAGATTCCAGTTTGAAACTTGCATCATTATAATCCACAAACCACTCAGTAAAACTCCTCGAAATTTGACTTATAACTGATCTCATCCTCAGGGATATTCCATCTTTTGAGGTCAAACTAAGGAGGTACTCAAGATTGTTCTTCATCAGCTTTGATTGTTCAGGTTGTAACAGAAGAGAGAATTTTTCTGAGACAAAACCTCGTACTATTTGCAGTGCTTCCTGGGTCCCCTCTCCTGACACTGTGTTGACCTGGCTATCTTCGGGATCAGACAGAGTTGCCAGCTCTGCTTCAAGAGATGCATAAAATGCTTCCATCGAGATCAGACTATCACCAGCGTCTTTTGACTCCAACTGTAGAAAAGCTCTAGATTCTGGAATATGCATATGAGATTCCCCTGCTTCTGGGTTTCCTTTCGTCCTTGTGAAGCCAATCTTTTCGGGATTCTTAATGTTGGAAGTACCATTGTTTTTGCTTGCATAGGCAAAGGAAGTTGACTCCTAATTCGAGAACGTGAAGAGAGAAATTGTTAGAAAAGTCATGGGGCCTGTTATTTTATTGGATAATTAGCTCAAGCTGCATATATAGGTGCCAGACAGATTTCGAAGAAGGAAATAATAATGATCTCAGTTTCATATTCATCTCCTTCTTTCCTTCTGGTTCAGATTATACAAGTTGGGAAAATGAGGAGGAAAACAAAAATAAAAACACCACTCAGGATTACCTGCTCAAGTTTGCTCTTCTCCAGCTTTCCTGTTGCACTTTCAATAAAAAAATCCTTATTTTGTTCTTCCTCAGCGAGGTCACTGTATTTTACTGTTCCTTTTCCTCTGTCCTTGACCACTACGTCACGTCTTTCTGGGTCTTCATTCTCAGTTCCAGTCAAATGTTCTTCCTCGTCCTCATCATCTGCTCTGCTAGATCCTTCCATCAAACTTACAATCTTCTTGTCAACAAGCTCAGCTGATGCTTGATCAAAAGCAGCGTGTCCACCACTTACTTCATAAATGTCGGCATCATTATTTTCCATTTTGTGACGGGCAATATCTGAACCCCGAAGATCAGGGCTTATGAAGGAGACGTCGTGGATGTTCATTCTATCCTTAGAGAGATGAATGCCACTGAATCTAACAATGGAATTGTGTGGATGATTGTTCTTAGCAGTACATGAAATCCCCACATGGTTCCAACTTCTGTGAAGATGCTTGTTGATGTAATGCCTCTCTTTGGCTGTTAAGTGAATTCGCAGGTCAAACAGCCAGACATGGTCCCTCGGCAACGTTCTTTCACCTTTTAGCACTTGAATGTCATTGATGGTCAGTGTGAATTCACATGTAAAATTGGTTTCTACTTCAGTTTGACCCCCTAGAACCAAAAGTGCCGCAATTCCAGGGAATTCTCGGCGAACCCAAAAACCCACAGATCCTCCTCTGCCACAATAGTCGAACCACTTTGGGATTCGCTTCCTCCACACTACAATGTCCATGTTCTCCACCTCTTGAAATGCCTGTTAATAAAATAATAAAAGAATTGATTTATAGAATTTAAACCTATCAAATAGTGGAAAAAAATTATGTTCAGTGTTCCGCAAGGTCCCTGTTTATCTTATTACACAAGTTATTGAGGGAAAAATGAGCTCAGTAATCTGGATCCAGATTCTCTGAAATTTCATAAAATTAGTTGTTTTAACTACTCTTCTAAAATAAAACAAGAGGAGTTGCGTGTGAAAAAATTGTTGTGTTTTATTACATGCAAGTACAGGAATGAGGGAAATGTACCTGACTTAATATTACGTCGAATGAATCCTGAGTCAATGATATGCAGTTCCTTGCATCTATGTGTTGCAAGTAAGGTGGAAGCACAGAAACGTATCTAAGCTGCTTGCAATTTTTCACACAAAGAAAAAGAAGGTTTGCAAGTTCTTTAATGCACTCATGAATGGTTACAAAGTTGTTGTTTGATAGTATCAACCACTTCAATTTTAAAAAGGAACTGAGAAACAGCTCGAGATCATTATCAGATAAATCACAATTTTCTAAAACCAGTTTATTTAACTTCGGTGCCCAATTTGTCCAATACATCATTACTATCTTCCCCAGCAGCTTTGGACCTGATGAACATTCTTCCACATTATCTTCTTCAGTATTATGAAACATGTCAGTGTGGATATGAGGATCCTCAGCAGAAGATTTCAAAACTAGCTCTTGAAGACCATCAATCTTTGTTATTGAATTGTGAAGGACTTTTATGGAAGTCCCTTGTGTGCCGGCATGTTTCATATCTTCCTTTTCTGCCAACTTATTCGAGAAACTCGGCAAGTTAGAGCGTTTTCCAAGATTTAGAGGTTCAAGAGATGCAGAACTCATTCCTGCAGGTTGCAAACGCTCAAGTTTGAGGCAATTTTCAATAAGCAGTGCGCCCAGATTTCCAATAAATTGATCAAAAATTTCAGCTAAGGTTGGACATTTGCTAGTAAGAAGTGCTGTAGAGACATCTGGTATTCTTGTAATAGAACCACTGTCACTGAGGTCCACCAAATTAGTTATATGGCAATGAGGCGCGTTGAGAACAGGAAGTATCTCTGGATAATGCTCAGTTGGTAAAGATAGCGACTGATGTTCATTCCACTCTAGCAATCTGAAATTGTTGTTAGCAAGAAGTTTAAGGACTCTAGAAACTCTTGAGTTCTGAACCAAGGGAATTCCTGTACAAAACCCATTCCCAACTCTTGGAGATTCCTCTTCAAGGATTCCAATACCATATTTCATCAAAACAAGTTTCCACTCTTGGATCGTTTTGCCAAACAAATCAGAACCTATAACATTCAAAGCCAATGGTAAGCCTTGGGCATATTTCACTACATGCTTTGCTATCTCCGCATAGCTTGGATCAGGTTCACTTTTTTTGAAGGCATTCCAACTAAACAATTCAAGTGATTCATCATCTTCCAGTCCTTTCACTTCATGCAGAATTTCAACCCCATGTTGTCTTAAGAAATGTTCATTTCTTGTTGTTATAATTATCCTACTTCCCTGCCCGAACCAATCTTTTCTTCCAGCTAAAGATTTCACTTGTCTAAAATCATCAACATCATCAAGAATCAAAAGAATCTTCTTGAAACGAAATCTCTTTTCTAATATAGGAATTCCTTGACTTACGTTGCTGCACTTGATATTATTTTCTCCAAGCAAGTTCGAAAAAATTGTCTCTTGTAGTTGTGCTAGACCATTCTTCCTTGAGTTTTCTCTCACCTCACCAAGAAAACAAGAGGAATCAAACTGATTAGCAATCGAGTTATACACTGCTTTGGCGATCGTTGTTTTACCAATTCCAGCAATCCCATGAATTCCCACCATCAAAGCTTCTTTTTTAGAGTTAATACTTAGAAGTGATATCACTTCTAATATTCGAGACTCCAATCCCACGGGATGATCAGCTATGTGTAAAATTGTGCGACTTAATATTTTAGAAACCTCTTCCGTGATTTTTTGAACAAACTCAAACTCATACCTGTAAAGTTCACCAAACAAGATACTATATGAGAATAAATTTATAAGAAATAAGATGGAAACAGCAATATTGGCGATGATTCACAATATTTTGTATGCTTCAATTGAATAATTGGTCCAATTGGAAGTCATGTATCTAGAGTAGCCTAGCATGTGGACCAAAGCTTTAACGTGCAAGATTTGGAGAATTCAGAGTATCAGCCTTTTACTCAAGTGAAGAAGCAGACTATGCCCAAAAAAAAAAAACAGAGAGATAACAATTTCAATTTCTCATGCTAATAGGGTTCCTTTTTTAGGAGCTTTTGACTCTAATAGCAGCGGCAAAACATCCTAGGTGATCAAAGAGAAGAAGCCCAGAAGACAGAGGACAAGATTGGAATAATTTATGGGGAAATTGTGGATCTCATGTAACATTTCTCCAATTAAGCTTTTCTTCTTTATTTCCTCTTTACTTTAATGTTTGTTGCTGATATTTGTTGTCATTACAACCATGTGCGGCCAAACTTCTGTAGACCTTACAGATTTATGAACCTTTATGCATGATTCGTCGTTAACTTTCTCCTTAGTTATTGTTATTTAATGGATGCTTAATATGAATATCTTTTGCTAGTGCTAGAGATTGACTGACTATATATTGAAGAATAGTTTTGCAATTTGCCTAGATTATGGGAACCCGTCCTATAGGTGTACCTATTTTTTTTTTTTAGTGCATGATTCTTCTCACCCTCTAGTTAGAAGGTGGGGAGTTAGACGAACGGTCTTAGTAGTGGTTCTGGGCAAAAGCATTACCAAGTTCATATTTCCATTTTTTTTTTTCCTGCAACAGACCTTGCATTGGTTTTGTCAAAACCGCTCCCGTATGTTATTGTAGTAGTTTAACCGCTACAAAAGCAATCAAATAATCACTACTAGAGGTTTTTTGTGTAGCACGGGTTGGACCATTGTACAACACTTTCAATATAGGAGAGCATATTCATGTTGTCATTTATAGACTGACACTTAAGGGAAATATTGTTGAAATATCAAGGGTAATGAGCTTAACTTGATGTGAAAAAAAAAGAAGAAAAAGTCATATAGAATAGAATTTAAAGAGATATATGAGTCAACTTTGACTCAAATGCCTAAGCCATTACTCCCTATGAGCAACACCAAAATTTGACGGCAATGTTGAAAGGAACACGTGCTACGTTTTAACTCTGTAGTAAAGCACAACATAGGTCAAATCCCCAACTTTGAATCTCTCTAGTCTCTACTGAAGTTTTCGTGCATCCTGTTTATATCCTCTCACAATTAAATTTTTATTTTTTTTAAGTTGTAATTGTGAGAAGATGTCGAGAGCATGCATCAAAACTTACAGCAAAGATTCAAAATAATCCGTCATATCCCCTATGAGCAAAGTAGTAAGCAAGTCAACTGTAAGGGTATGTTTGGATACAATATTTGACATTCTAAATGGATTTTGGGAAACCATCTTTTAGCAAAAGTTGTTTGGATACTTTTTTACTTTAAAAAGTCAATTTACTAAAAATTGATCTGGGTTACTTTTACTGATATGAGCTACAAACTTTCAATTTATTAACATGATTTTTTCATGTATCTGATGGAATCTCTTTCGCTGCACAAACCTATAAGAGGAGAAATAGGAAAATACAAACCTATAAGAGGAGGAATAAGAAAATACAAGAACAAGGAAAAGCACATTTAGGAGAGGCTGAATGTTGACTTTGCCATTCTTACAGTAAGAGGAAAGCTATAGAGACTTAGTATTGACTTAAGGTGGTTTTAAGATTGTCTTGGCAGAAATAATGTTGAAGATTGTGCAAAGTGCTTTTGGGTTATAGTAGTCACTAGTGTCATTTTGGAAGGGGGCTGATATCTTTTGTATTGTGGTGAGAGGAGAGACTGGCTCTCGAAAACCAAGGGGCGTGCCTATCTAGCATTGCAGTGTTTTTGTTGTTCTTGTCCCTTAGTTGTTATTTGGGTACTTGGGTTGTAATAGGGAATAGGGCTTGTTCTAAATCAGTGAAGTGCCTTCGTAACACTGATTTAGCCTTTTGGAGTTTTAATATCAAACCTCAGCATTTCCCTTGACCTGTTGGCTGTTTTACTTTTATATTTCTGCATTTTCTTTACTTGTTGACAGCAGGGTTGCATCAGTATCCAAACATAAATCCCATTACAATAATCAATTTTGGCAAAACTTCAATTTTGACAAATAAACTTTTGATAAATAGACTTTTGGCAAACTAAAAGCCAAACACATTTTAAGTCTAAATTGTCTCTCAATGGTTTTTAATGCACTTCAAAGGGGGGGAAAAAGAAAAGCTAATAGATTAGTGCCTAACTTGAACTAAACTAAAGTGCAAACTAACTGCATTTGAAAGTCCTAGATTCAACTACTAGTGCAAGTGCATGGTACAAGTGCCAAGTGCAATTGTTGTGATAAAAATGCAATCCTCATTAGTATTAATTGAGCATGCAAATATCGACTAAGCTAATACTAGTTGGTTGTTCTCGCTTTCAAGATGCTTCTTAGACCCAATAAGATTAATACCAATTTAAAAAATTAAGATATAATAAATTCTTAGAACATATATTGACATCCTTCAACATGAAACACAAGATATCTTTTAAAATTTTAATTTAAGCTCCATTCCATCAAACATTATATTCAGACATAAAATATGAATGTTTTGCAACCAAAAAAAATTACGCCCTTTAAGGGTCAAATTCACACATTAACGGTCAAATCTACATCTTCATCTACAATAAAAGTCACGCTTAAATGAAATATCATCTTTTAAAATAGAATATCTAAATACCACAAAATCAAACTTTACTCTTCTTTAAAAAAAAAAAAAAAAGTTTACCGGCCGTCTGTGAAATGCCATCCAGCCAAATTGGCAGCCTCCCGAAGCGCAGCTCTCCAGTTTTGCAATGTTTTTTGTGCAAGGCTCCAATCACGAACTGTTTGCTTGAGCCTGGCTTCATGCTCAGCCATTGACCTTCCAAAACTTCCACTCGCTTGCCTTACATCTGAAGGATATACGTTATAAAACACCGGTCGAACCTTCTGTCCCTTCTCCTTCATACATTCCATTATCTTCACCAGTTCGTCCAGGCACCAGCTTGACGATGCATAGTTCTCGGAGAATACTATGATGGCGATTCTAGATTCTTCGATCGCCTTCAGAAGAGCTGGGCAAATGCTTTCGCCTTTCCTGAGGCTGTCGTCGTCTCGGAAGATGTGTATCCCCTTTTGATTCAGAGCCCAACAAAGGTTGCCGGTGAAACCATAACGAGTGTCTCCGCCATTGAAGCTTACAAAGACATCGTAGGTCCACCCGTGGATGAAAGAAGACGAAGAGCAAGCGCCTTCAAGTGCCATGTGGATTGGCTGCAGTGAATCACAATTCATTTGATCAAAATAGTTGGGACAGTGCTGCCTCATTAACTCCAAGTGAAGTTCAGGAGCTACTTGAGGTTCTTTTCATTTGCTTATGCTTATCGGAGCTGGCGAGTCTCTAACTCAGCGTCCATGAAATGCGGTATGGTTTTCGCGTGTATCACTGTGATGAGAGATTTAAAGTATTATTCTATTTTTTAATTATTAAAATAAAAAATTATATAATAACTTTAATAAATTTTTTTATTTTCAATTTAATTTATATTTAATTTAAAGAATTTAATTTATTAAGTAAAAAAATTTATTAAAGTGATTTATAAGTTTTATAACTTTTTATTTTAATAAATAAAAAATATAATAATATTTAAATTTTGGATTGTTCTTATCAAAATTTAAATATTCTAAATTTCAATTTAGTATGTGTTTGGATAAGGATCAAACTTAATTAAATAATCTAAAATTAATTTTTTGTACCAAGTTATTCAACCAGTCAAAAAAAGTCAAAAATTAACTGCCGGCTTAAAAGCGCATTTTTTCATTAGCTCTCTTAACGAGCTTTTGGTGAAAAGTTGACCAATAGTGTTAAAAAAATTATAAAAAAAGACTTAAAAAATTATAAAAAAGATATAATATTAAATAAAAATAAAACTAAACTCTTTTTTTCTTAATAAACTCTTTTTTTTCTTAATAAAATTTAAATTTTAAATTTTAAAAAAAGTTCTTAATTCTTGTCAACCGCATCCTTCACTTAGCACTTATTATAAAACTAATTTAAATTTAAATAAAATATTAATTAATAAAAAAAATTAAGTTAATTTAATTTAAAATTTAAAATCATTACAAAAATTATTATAAAAGTTCAAAAAGAGAAAGAGAAATTTTATATTATTTATTACATTGTTATATTTTTTATATTGTTAAAATTTTAAGGTAGTGCTTAACATTTTTATTAAATATAACTCACATCCATGTTGTCATTAAAAATTAATTTTTATATTATCATCTTTATTAATTATTGTAAAATTAATATTTGATATTTAAGAATTAAATTTTTCTCTTTTATTAAATTTATTTTAACTAAAACATATTAAGTTACTTATTTTTGTAAATTTAAATGTTAATATTAATATAATTTTAAACTTTAAATTAATTAGATATGTAATTAAATATAATATATTTTACTTCTTAAATAAAATGTAACAACTTTAATAATATTAGATATAAATTTATCAATAATTTAATTTTAAAAGAAAATATCCTTTATAGTAATTCAGACAGATAAAATTAATTCTGAATAAATTATCCAAACATATTTAATTCTGTTAAAATTAATTTTTAAAAAATTATATTCAAAAAAATTGTGTTATAATATAATTAATTATAATTAAAATTTATTCTTTAATTAATTATTTTTTTAAGTTCTTATACCTAACTGGAATCTAAATGGCAACTAATATCATCACATCACTGTGACAGCACTGAAGAATGAGTTGGTTTCAAACCGTACGATATTTGGCGTTCGGGCACAAGCACCGCTTGGATTTCGCGCACGATGAGAAAGGTACTATTGGAGTAGCTGTTTATTTGAATGGGCCCAAGGGAAGTGGAAAAAAAAGGATTTTCAGGGTGTGATCAATTTTGTTTTTTGTCTTTTTTTTTTTTGACCAACCAGGGTGTGATGAAGTTACTCGTGCCTTCTCTCCGATGGCATGTTGCAGACCAACCACTGAGGCCCAATCCAGTTGACACGTACACGTTAGGCGCAGCCGTAGGATCAAACAGCCCGCATGGAAGCTTCGGTCCATGGATGACTTGCATAAATGAGAGGGCGAGAGAGGGTATGTTGATTGTTATCCGAATTCCTTCTGTCATGTTTCTCTCTCTCTTCCTGGGCAGTACTATCTGCATTATTTCTGTTATGCTTTCTGATGCATCAGGGTTGTAATTGAGCTATGACGATATAATAAACAACTCGTTTTTTTTTTTTGTCGAAGATATAATAAACAACTCGTTATTCCTTCTGTATTGTTCTTTCTGTTGATTAGATTTGAGTGTGACATCGCAATCCTCTCTGGTCCGGAATTTCTCTCTGTTCTTCTTCTTCTTGCTTCCTTTGTCAATTAGCATCGTCTCTTTTTGAAAAGCTCCTTAATTATTGTGAGATTTTGGAGTAGCTATATTAACCATAACACTGGTTTCATGTGGATAATATCGGTGGCCAAATCAGACGAAAGATAAAAGATAAAAGAAAAAACATGTGAGCTGCCTCGCAACCTTCTGGGCATACAGAGATGAATAAGACGACGACGAAGAGAAGGGAACGAAGTCGCGAAGATGAATTGTGCGGACGTGCAGCAGGAGCCGAGTTGCTACTAAAAAAATTTATTATTTATTTATTTCTTTTAAAATGTCACACCTTGAGATAAGAATAACAACAAACCCAGAAATGGATCCTTTCAAGCATTACTGGCAATGACGAGTAAGAGTCTAAGAAAGAAGGGAATTACAGAGATAAAACTCAGAAAGAAAGGCCAGAGGGGAAAGGAGTAACAGAAAGAGAGAGAGTGTCCAATCGCAATAACCATGATCTCTCAGTCATTGCATGCAGGCGTCATCTATCCCTTTAGATCACGTTCACTTTCTAAAATAGAATAGAATGAAGTGAATTGAAAAAATAAAAATAAAAATAAAATAATTAAAGAAAATATATGAGTATATTTATAAGAAAGAAAGGAGATTTAATTCACGAGATTGTGAATCATGATTTATAAAATTTATAAAAAATGTAATAATTTTTATTTTTATAATATATATTAATGAGTTTTATCATGTCTATTATAAAAAAAGAGTAATTTAATTAATTTTTATTTTTATTTTTTTAATTAATTTTATTATACTACATTCTAATATGCGAACGTGGCCTTATCGCAGCCCCTATCTTCTATGTGGGCCCACTCACCCGTCTGCTTTTATGCAGCCCCATTTCCAACGTGAGTGCCACCTGTCATACCCACGTGAGGCTCACGCTCATCTTCATGCAAAGGCAAAGGTCGCAGTCCATGCTGAGAGGAATGAGTCGTGACATAAAATCAGTGACGGATTCTGAAAAATTAATTTATGAGGACAAAATTTACACATAAAATAAATATTAATATTAATATTATCACTAAATTAATTATAATTTTTATTAAATTATATTAAATATAAAATTTATTAAAATTAAATTCTATTAAAGAACTATACATAAATATAAAATTATATCTATTAGAATTTTGCTTTTCATTTTAATCAATAAAACTTAAATCTCTTGAGTTTTGATCAATAAAAGTAAGTTTAATGAATAAATATTTAGTTCTTGATCTTTTAAAATCTGTCTTATATATCTAAACTTTTATATGCCAACAAAATTTAATTTTTTTGTATAGTATAATTTTTTTGTGACAAAATTTTCAATTTAAACATACAATCAGAGAAATTATTTTTTTGCTCCCTTCTTTTTAAAACTCTTTCTATTTAAGTTTAAAACACATAAATAGGACTTTAGTCAAATAAACTTTTTAAAAATTAGTGAAATTTTTTAATAGGATCACATGAATTTTCTTTTCTTTTTTGAGGGGGCAGGGGGCAGCTGAAATTTTTGAATGGGGGCAAATAAAATATTTAGGGTCATTATGTGTATTTTTTTTTTTTTTGGGCTTGTGGGGACAATTACCCCCTCTATAATACAAGTAGATCCGTCCCCGCATAAAACTATATATTTTATATTTTGCTGAGTGAATATTGTCTAAAATCCACTTGTTCTGAACTCAGCAGATCGACCAGGAAGTCAGGAACGATGGTTGCTGAAAAGAAAAACGATGAGCTCCAACGATCCAAAGTAGAATGAGAATAACCATGGCTTCACCGTATGACTCTTCTCCTTGTCGTCCTTTTGCGTGGCCCACCACTGCTATCATTGACTCTGTTTGATTCCTATTCAAATGAAAGAAATTGGAACTGGAATTGAAAAATTGCAGGCAAGGTGAGACAGGATGAGGATAATGGGAGGAGAGTGAGGTTGGTAGAGAAGATTTGAATTTGGAATAATGCTATAATGGCAATCCGTGGGAATTTGGAATATACAATCAAGCCTTTTTTTAAAAAAAAAAAAAAGTTGCATGTCTTTTAATAAAATCATATTCTCTATATTTGCAACTGCACCTACTGAATTCTGTAGTTTAAGTATTTTTCTTGTGTAAAAGTACAAGGCTCCTTTGTTGATTCGGTGTGATATTCGAGCTATGGATGATGCAGCTTATGAAATTCTAAGCAACAAGGAAGTTGTTGCAGTAAACCAAGGCATGTACAGAACAAAAACTCTGCAAGATAGCCTTCTATGTAGATGGAAGCATTGCTTATATCTTCCATTAAAAAAAAAAAAAATCTCATCCTTGTAATCTTCTGGTAATGCAGATAAACTAGGGGTTCGATCAGGGAAAAAAGGTGAAAAGTAAAAACGATTTGGAGGTAATTTCTTTATTTTCATTGGGAATAAGATTCTCAACATCATCACTTACGTCATACAATGCTTTACATATTTCATTGCAAAGCTATCAAACTGATTCCAAAGTCCGACTAAAAATAGAATGATCTTTATTTTTTCTCATGCAGATTATTTGGGATTATAATCATTCTCTTGGATTGATATAGCTCATCAAAGGATAACTATATCTTTATGATGGAGATGGAGTGGTTAGGGACATGCATATTTTTCATGCTTTAAGGCAAACAAGCCTTAAGTCATGTGATAAGGTGTATTAGGATAAGAAAACCATTGGTGAACATCCATTCATGTTTTGTGCTTTTGGCTTGAAGTGACCATTATAAAAAATAATGGCATATAAAGAGCATCTCAAGTTAAAACCACTTTTATTTATGCATATATACCAATTTTCCCAAATGCAAACTCCTTAGAAGAAACTGAAAAGTGACAGGTTTGGGCTGGTCCCCTGAGTAATCACAAGGTGGCTGTGATCTTATGGAATAGAAGTTCATCATATGCGACAATCACTGCGTCTTGGTCTGACATAGGCCAAAAACCTGAGACTCTAGTTGATGCGTGAGACTTATGGACTGTGAGTCA